CATAGTTCATCACTGGTAACACACACTGATTATAGACTTTCGTCTTGAGGCACTGAGGTATGTTGGACGAGAAGATGTTGCGTAGTTTCCCGAACGCTGCCCATCCAAGTTGGATTCGACGATTGACCTCTTTCTCGAAATTGGACCTACCTAGCTGGATCACTTGTCCTAGGTATATATATTCGTCAACAATTTCGAGGGTAGAGCTCCCAACTGATATCGGGTAGGGCGTAACATGGGCGTTCGACATGACTTTCGTCTTGTCCATGTTCATTTGGAGCCCTACCTGTTGAGAAACTCTACAGAGGTCATCGAGCATTGTGCTTAGATCCTCCAGCGATTCTGCCATGACCACAATGTCGTCGGCAAACCGGAGGTGTGTGATGTACTCGCCGTTGATGTTGATGCCAGATCCTTTCCATTCCAAAAGTTTGAAGGCGTCTTCCAATGCAGCGGTAAACAGTTTTGGAGATATGACGTCTCCTTGCCTTACACCTCGCTGCAGAGGAATATCCCTCGTGTTCCGGTCCTGTACTCGGACCGACATAGTGGCGTTTGTGTACAAGCACTTTAAAACCTCAATGTACCGATAGTCAATACGGCAACGCTGGAGAGATCTTAACACCGCCCAAGTCTCGATCGAATCAAAGGCCTTCTCATAGTCCACAAACGCTAAGCATAGTGGCAAGTTATACTCCTCGGTCTTCTGTATAACCTGCCGCAGTGTATGGATGTGGTCTATGGTGCTATAGCCTTTCCGGAAACCGGCTTGTTCGGGAGGCTGGAAGTCATCGAACCTACGTGTGAGACGATTCGTAATGACCCTCGAAAACAGCTTGTAGACATGGCTCAGAAGTGAGATGGGTCTGTAATTTTTCAGTAGAGTATTATCTCCTTTCTTGAAGAACAGCACCACCACACCTCTGCCCCATGCCGCCGGCGTTACTCCTTCGAATATGACAGAGTTGAAGAGCTTCTGAAGGACTCTCAGTACCGGCGTTCCGCCCGCTTTCAGAAGCTCTGATGTGATTCCGTCTTCACCCGGCGCCTTGTTGTTCTTAAGCTGCTTGAGGGCCATTCTAATCTCGTATAGGCTGATGTCCGGGATATCCTCGGTATAATGTCGGGTAAGTCTAGCTCTTGGATCTGCAACTGAGCTAACAGGTTTAGTGACCGATGCGTATAGCTGACCATAAAACGTCTCGATCTCCCCCAAAACTTCGGCTTTCGTCGACGCCACACTACCATCCTCCGCCTTCAGCTTCGTCAGCTGGCTTTGCCCAATAGACACGTCCCTAGCGAACACTTTGGAGCCTTGGTTCCGCTCTATCGCTTCTTTAACCATATTGACATTAAAGTTGCGGATATCGTGTCGCAGGGACTTCCATATCTGTCTATTGAGCTGCCGATGTGCTTTAGCATCGGCAGAGGTCTGGAGCACCATAGCACGTCGTTCTGCCATGAGTC